TCTGTGTTCTGTGCCTTGAGCCACGTCCTGGGGATGCAGAGATGAGGGTGGTGCTGCCCCTGTGGCCCCAGACGTGCTCCCAGGCTCATCAGTGCCAGAAAACCACATACAGAGAGAGGCTTTACGGCATTAATCGTGGAGGAAAAGGGTCCCCGCCCCCACTGTGGCCTCCTTGCTCTTAGAACATGGCTCAGGCTGGGAGAGTGCCTGCGAGCAGGGCTGCCATTTCTGTTCATCTAGAAATAGATTACCTGGGAGAGGAGGGTGGGAAGGGCCCAAGGATCATCCGTTCATGTCCCCACACCTGGGTGGGGGACACCAGGCGTGGTGCAGGCTGGGGTGCAGAGACATCAAGGTGAGGACGACATGGTCCCCCCAGATGTGGTCCAGGCGGGGGGAGGGTTGTGCTGCTGGGGTCTGAGGAAGCTAACGGAGCATCCCCTCTCCCAGGGGCTCAGACAGGTGGAGGTTTGTTGCTGGTGCCCCTGGGGTGGAACAGACTTCTGATGACCTGCTCCCTGGGTCTAGGCCTTGTCCATTTGAGAGGAGACTGTCTGGCAAACCTCACGTCTGCCCAGCCATTGCAGCTCCCCAGGGGACAGGGGAGGGGGGGACTCAGAGGTGGCCTGCAGTGCAGTATTTTGGGCCCAGACTCCCCTGGAGGTGGGGCTGCGGGCGGTGGAGGAAGGAGGGGGAGGCCTCAGGTTCTCTCTCATGGTTCCATGTGGGGAGTGGAGCCCCAGCCCCTCCCTCCGTGGAAACGTGAGATGTGGGCGACAAGGCATCTAAACAGCTCAGGAGGTTCAATCCCGATCCCACGTATCCATTCACAGTCCCTGAGTTCTCCAAGCACCTGGGCTGGGCCAGGCACTGCAGAGGTCACGGTGAATCCAGCTGACGCAGGTGCTGGAGAGAACGGGGCAAGCGAGAGGGAGGGAGGGGCCGCTGCAGGTCTGGAGGCTCAGGAAGGTGGGGAGGGGGCGCAGGGGACCCAGGGGAGCCTGCGGGACCCTCTCTGGGCCTGGCTCTCCTGGGTCTACCCGCTCAACGCTGGGGGCTGGTCTGCTGGCCTGCAGAGGAGCTGGAAGCCTGAGCGTGTTGGGGAGGAGTGGGGAGGGAAGAAGATGCTTCCCACCCCTGGGAGCCGAGTGCGGGGTCCTTCCCTGTGCCGCTGTCCTTTATTTCATGTTTGGGAGAAGTCTCTTTCTGCTTTTGCTTCTCCCTTCTCGGTGAGAACCAGATTGGAGTTTAGTAAATCGCAGCAGCTCTTCTGGTTGTCAGTTTTTGGTTCTTTCTGGCCCAGGCCCTGGCTGGAGAAGAAGCCCTGAGGTTAGGCAGGAGAAAAGCCTGGAGTCCTGCTTGCTGAGGCCTGGAAGAGGCGGGGGTGGCCGGTTCCTCAGATGTCTGAGAGACCCTCAGGTGGTGGGATGGCTGGGCCGGACTAGGGCAGACTACAACCGTTTGCCGAGCACCCCCCCCCTTCACTGAAGAGAATGTTCTGGAAAATGCCCACTGGCCAGTGAACTATTGCTCTACCCTACGCCCCCCTGCAGAATCTAGCAGGTGCCACTGGAGGAGGAGCTCCAGCAGCCGGGGAGTGGGGAGGGGAGCGAGACTGCGCACCCAGGGGAGACCCCCCTGCCGCCGTCCTGGCGACTTCACCTGGGGAGGGACCCTTCCAGCTGCCCCAGAGTTGAGCTTCCCTGGCTGCTTTGGACCTGGTGGTGGTGGTGGTGGTGGAGGGGGTGGTCTGAGGGCTTCCCCCTCCCCAGAAGGGCCGCCCAGCCCTGGGGCAGGGCGGATCAGCCTGGCTCCCCGCCCCCGCCCACCCCCGGCCTCTGTTCTGCCGGCTCCTTTCACTCACAGGTATTTTTACTTTTCCCTGGTGCCTGTTATGCAGGATCAAAGGAAGGAGGGGAGGCTGACAGAGGCGGTGGTTTGCCCGGGTCTTGGAGGAGCTCAGAAAAGGCAGGCCTGGTGGGACCCACAGCTGCAGAGGGCCTGCTGCAGGCGGCCGGTGACCCAGTCGGTGGAGGGTGGCCTGGGGCTTCTGACCGGCTGGGGGCCGGGCCTGGGGCCTCGATTCTCATCTGGAAAGTCCTTGCCTTTCTCCTCTGAGGACTTTCTCCACTGAGGACTCCTTTCCGCGTGTGCCTGCTTCCTCTTGCCTGTGGTGTGTGTGTGTGTGTCTATTTGCTTACGTTTGGGCTCCGCTCAGCCCAGAGGTGCTCGGGTTTCAGGAAGAAGCCAGTGTTGATCCCTCATGAAGGATCTGGAAGCCTGAGAAGGCCCGACCGGCAGAAGCTGTTGTGCGCTGGGTCTTGCAGCCTGAATCTGCCCTGCTGCAGCCTCACTCACTGCCTGTCCCTATGCCCCAAATCCCTCTATTGAAATAAAAAAAACCCAAGCCACCCCTGACCTCCCAGGATGCCAGAACTGGGCAGGGCCTGAGAGATGTCTGGCGGGCCAGCGTGGTGGGGTGGTCAGGGGTGGGGTCTACACAAGTTCTGTGTTCCTGGGCTGTCTCACCATGTGCGGCTTGATGCCTCAGCTTCATCACCTGTGCAACGGGGCTGACAATCCCACCTGGCTCATAGGGGTGTGTTACCTGAGACGATGCAGGCAGAGCACGTGCCTGGTGCCCCGCGGTGTGTGGTCCTTTGCTGTTATTTCTCCGTGGGGCACCGTTGGCATTTGGACAAGACTGTGTTTCATCGTGGGCTGTCCCGCCCCATCCCTGCCTGGATGCAGGCCAGTAGGTGACTCCCTCCCTCCATCGTGATCACCGAAATGCCCCCACAGGGCCAGGATGGCCTCCGGACTGCGTCCTACTGCAGCCAGTCCATTTTACACGTGTTGAAACTGAGGACTCCCTGGGGGACAAGCATGGCCTCCAGCACGGCAGCAGTAGGACTGCAGGGTGGTCCGGGACTCCTGCTCTTTCTCGTCTGAATTGCCTAGAACTGGCCTTGGCAGCCAGCACCCCACACCACCCCTCGCTCCTGGGAGAGACCTCAGATAACTCACATGGAGTGACTGCTCTTGAGGAGTCCGCACAGGTGTAGCTGCCCCTCGCCTGTATTTCGACAGATCTTCAGCCCTCCCCAGAGCGCTGACCCCCAGCCCTAGGTCACTGGGTCCTGGCTTCCTGCCGGCCTCCCCAGGCGCTCTCGGCATGACCAGTGCTGGATTTGAGTCCTCACCCGCCTTGAGTGGGGAGTCACCTGGTCCCTCTGGGAGACTGCTTCACCTGCAGAAGGCTGCTGAGGAGAATTGCGAGCCCTCCTCTTGGCCTCTGAGGCGCTAGCGGAGGGGCAGCATTTGGGTGAGGGGCGAGACGTGAGGTGAGCGTCCAGAAGGCGCTCACTGGAGAAGCCCAGGAGCCAAGGTGGATCCTGGGGCGTGGGCCCCCCATGCTCCCCTGCCCCTCCCAGAGCCCGGGAAGCCTCTGCGGGGGATGGTGGCTCTGAGCCCCCCCTTGGTCTTCGTGGAGGGACCAGGTCTCCAGAGAAGCCTCCCAACCCAAACACAGGCTCTTTCACATGGTCGGGGAGACCGAGGCACAGGTCGGGCGAGAGGCTGCTGGTCTTCATTTGACAGACGCACGGGGAAGGGGGCCCTGAGGTCGCCCCCCCACCCCGCCCTGACTCCACTTTCAGCCTTTCTCCCGGGGCCTCCCAGATCGAGGGGAGGGAAGCTGCTGGCACTGAGGGAAGGCTGGGCCCCGGGAAGGAAGCCCTGGGGAAATTAGCCCAGATTAGCAATGAGAATGAGGAAGAGCGGGTGTTCTCTCCTCTCCCCTCGCAGATAAATATTTAATCACAACAACAATAATAATGACGGTCATCATAATAATGTGCACTAGCTCAGGCCAGAACCTGAGCCGCTCTCAGAGGGAGGAAGTGGCGAAGAGAGAAGGAGCGAAGAGAAAAGGAGAGATAAAGACCCCTGGGGTGGGGCGGGGGGCCCAGCAAGAGAAAAGGAACCCCTGCTGGGTTGACACTGGCGGGGTAGCAGGGCAGCTGGGGTGGAAATGGAGGTGGGAGGGTCCACCAGCCCTCCCCAACTCCGGCAGCCTCAGCTTCTCTTGGCCTTCAGACCGAGTGGCTCCCAGCCTGACGTCTCCTGAGGCCCTGTTTTCTTTCCTCATCTCCGAGTCCTCAAGAAGCCTGTGTGTCTGGTTCCAGAACTGGGGGCCAGGCATTGGGTTCCAGGTGGCGTTCTGCTGTTCACCCCCACGTGACTTGGGCCAAGTGCTCTCCCGCTCTGGGCCTCGGTGTCCCCATCTCTGAAATGGGTTGTGTCCACCGGGGCCGGTTTTTGCATGCATGTTCCTTCCCGTGGGTGCCTGTTGAGAGGAGACCCCTCTTCTTCCTCAGCCTCTGGGGGTCCCCTGGGGAGTGTGTTCTCTGAGGCCTCTGGTCTGATGGCAGTGGGCACCAGGAACCTTGAGACATGACCCAGTTTCTGCCTTCAATTCTCTCATTTGCACCAAAGTCGAGTGGCAGGGGAGAGGAAGCCAAGTTCAGGAGGCCTGTGGCGTCTCTGACCACAGCCTCCAGCATCTCCTGCTCCCAGGCTCCTGATGAGAGATGCGAACAGTTAATGTCTCCTTGGGCTTCTCTGATTCCCTCTCTCTCTTTCTCAGGCTGGTAAGAGGAGAGCCCTGGAGCTGTTTTCTCCTTGATGCCAAGATCTACCCAAGCTAGGAGCACTCTCCACCTTTCACGGTCATCCACCAACAGGCCTGTGGGACGTGGGGACCAAGACCAGAACTTTGCTGCGCCCCAGCTACCCCCTGCTGTCTGAGTGCAGCCTGTCGCTGGCTGAGGAGCACCAGCATGGTTCCGCCCATCGGCCGCCCTCAGCCACCCTGCTGCTGACGCTGCTCTGGAGAGACTGGGGGGCCGCTGTGCCCATGCTCGTCCAGGCCGTGGGGCCTGGGGCCCGCCAAGGCTAGGAGCGAGGCCTGCCATTCATGGGTCTCTAGGGATTTCGAGATGCCTGGGAAGAGGGGCTGGGGCTGGTGGTGGGCCCAGCTGCCCCTTTGCCTACTCCTCAGCCTTTCTGGGCCCTGGGTGCCTTCCTCCCTGGGGAAGCCCAAAGGCCACCCCCACATGAATTCCATCCGCATAGATGGGGACATCACCCTGGGAGGCCTGTTCCCAGTGCACGGCCGGGGCTCAGAGGGCAAGGCCTGCGGAGAACTCAAGAAGGAGAAGGGCATCCACCGGCTGGAGGCCATGCTGTTTGCTCTGGATCGCATCAACAATGACCCGGACCTGCTGCCCAACATCACGCTGGGCGCCCGCATTCTGGACACCTGCTCCAGGGACACCCATGCCCTGGAGCAGTCGCTGACCTTTGTGCAGGCGCTCATCGAGAAGGACGGCACGGAGGTCCGCTGTGGCAGTGGTGGCCCGCCCATCATCACCAAACCGGAGCGCGTGGTGGGCGTCATTGGTGCTTCTGGGAGTTCTGTCTCCATCATGGTGGCCAACATCCTTCGCCTCTTCAAGGTTAGTGCCTGCCCAGCTCCTTTCTCCTCTTCTCCTCCTGAATCCCAGGGAGAGAGTGTGTCCCCCCCTCCCCAGTACCCACAGTGGTGTGTGAGAATTTGGGACTGACCTGCCTGTGGTCAGAGAAGGACCCGGCTCCGTGGTGCTGACCGTGGTGCTGAAACAGCACCTGCTGCAGGCAGCCTTTTGATCAACTCTGCTCCTCTGCGGGGAATTCTGAACCAGGAGGGAAAGGAAGTGCTGGTGAACAACAGGAGGGAGGAAGAGAGGGGAGGACAGAGATATAAAAAAACCCCAGACAGATGGATGGACAGAAATATAGGTAGATAGAAAGGTACACAGGTTAAAAGATAGACATAGACTGGAAGTGTGAATGTTGGAGATTGCCAGGGAGAAAAAGCAAGACTTTTGTTTTGACATTGTTTTCCAATAATTGCAATTCCCAAGAAAGATCTGTTTTTTTCTTCTGGGTTGTTGAGAAAGCCCCGTGTGGCCCTCCCGCTCCACCTCAGGATTATAGTTAGAAAATGTGTCCTGGTTTTTTGCATGAGGCATTAGCTCTCAGCCCACAGCGACTGGATCTGCAGATGGGAAAGGCCTGGAGAAGTGGGTGGTCCCGTCTCTGGTGCCCTGGGTCCCCAACGGAGCTTCCCCAGCTCCTTCCTTCCTTCTGCCCCTCTTCCTCGCACACCTTTCTCCCTTCTGGAGTCCCTCCCTGCCCCCTCTCTGCCGCCCCCCTTCCTCCCTTCCTGGGGCAAGAGCTGCTGATTTGCAATTCAATTGGAGCCAAGTGCTTCGCTAAGCTGCTAAAACAACTGAAAGCTACCGGGTAGAGAGAAAAACATTACAAGCATTTTACCAATAATTATATGCCCGCTCCTTTCTGGGAGCCTCCTCGTTTGCTCTGTGTGTGTGTGTGTGTGTATGAGAGAGAGAGACAGAGAGAGAGAGAGAGAGAGAGAGAGAGAGAATAGGGTGAGGGAGGAGGAAGGGAGGCGTAAAGGGCGCCTCTGAGTCCCTCCTTCACTCTCAAGTTAGATTCTTGGCCTCTGGAGTTGGCTCCTTGTCTCCTCGAAGTCTCCAGAGTTGGGGAGTGTACAGAGAGGCTGCTTGGCCTCATGCAGGTCGGGAAGTGCTGAGGCTGGATCCCTCTCTCCTGGGCCTTTTCTGGAACCCATTTGCCCAGTCCCATGATGCAGTAGTATTTGGGGGCATTTCTGGGAAGCCTGGGGTAGAAGTAGGGATGAGTGGTGTGAGTGTCCGCGTGTTGGCTGTCTTGTCTAGTGGGGCAGGGTTGGAACTTTGCCACGGTCTGGTCTGGGCCACGGGTGCTGTGCAGTCCTTGACTTTGGGCCTTCTTCCTTGGAGTGCTGGGTTTGCTTAATGATCTGGATGAAGACACTATTTTAATTTTAAAAACAAATACATCATGAAGGATGCAAAATCATGATGCAGTAGGAGACTTGAAGGAAACTTTGCCTTGGCAGTGGACAGTTTGAACAACCCCTGGGGAGCAGTGTTGCCCGTGGTCATTCATTGGTCGGGGGGAGGTGGGGACTGGAAATCTGGTCCAGCCCCTCTTCCCAATTCTGTAGTGAGGAGGACAGACCCAGGGGGATGGGCAGCAGGGCTCAGGGGTCCCAGCCCTGGGCCTACTGAGGTTTGGGCCAGCTGAGTCATCATTTCAGCCTGCCTGCCCCCGTGGTGTTGGGAGGGGAGGTGACCTGGGCCAGCAGGTGTCATGGAGCAGAGGCCCGCCTATCTGAGCTGGCACAACCCCCCGCCTATGAGAAGGCCAGACCACAGGTGGGCTGCTGCAGTGTCCTCTTCTGAGCTTTTTACTAAACACCTTGGTGACTCTGGGTGTTTTAGAATGTGTTTTATAAGGACTTCCCTGGTGGTCCAGTGGCTAAGACTCCGAGCTCCCTATGCAGGAGGCCCCGGTTCCATCCCTGGCCAGGGAACTAGATCCCATATGCTACAACTAAGAGTTTGCAAGTTGAAACTAAAGATTCTGCATGCTGCAAAGACAATGGAAGATTCCATGTGCCACAACCCAAACCTGGCGTAGCCAAATGAAATACAACAGATAAAAATAAATATTAAAAAACGTGTTGTAAAAATGTTAAAACAATGTGAGATAGGCCCTTGGAGATAGGACATAGGTGAGGGTCCCTCCCCACCATCTCCCGGGCGGAGCTAGTACCCACTTTATAGGGAGGTGGGAGAGATCAAAGGGGCTGAGAGGTGTCACTGGACAAAGGGTCTAAGAAGGGCTGCTGTCAGCATCAGGCCTTGAAGCCGGTTCTGGGAGGTCCCCTGTGGGAGTGGGCTGCGACTTCCGAGCTGACCCCTCCCAAGGTGGACAGGTCTTGGGTGAGGAGGCCTGGGGCCAAAGGGCCTCACCTGCCGGGGGGCCTCGGGTGTTCCTTTTCCCCAGCCCATCCAGTTACACATGGGTGTGACTGTGGCCTCCGTGTTGTCTGCACCTCCTGAGATCACAGGGAGAGGAGTGGGTGGGGGTGGGAGTCAGGAGACCCCCAGGCTCGCAGAGAATGAGCTGGGACTGGGAGGGAGAGGCTTGGAGATGGGAGAAGGAAGGGGTGGAACAGAAGGGGGCTCTTGGGAAAGGAAAGTGGGGGACGTGGAGAGAGCCAGAAGGAGACAGCTGGCTGTGGTCCTAAGTCCCTCGGTCCCTTTTAACAGCGTTAATGTTCCAGGCTGGCGACAAGAGGGCTCCTCAATAATTAAACTGATAGAAATGAGAGGCTGGGCGAGAAACTGAAAAGCCATTTACAGAGGCAAAAAGATTGAACTTTGGGGAGGGAGGTCAGGAGCAGAGCCTCGAGCAGGAGAGGGTGAGGGAGGGTCCTCTGGGGCTGGGGAAGCTGCGGTGTCAGGTGTCCGTTTCAGAGGGCAGAGGGCACTACCATGCCAAGGCTGCTAGTGGGGCCTGCTGGGAACTACCCCAGAGGCTGTGGTTACAGCCCTCTCCTTCCTCCACGAGGTAGATTTGTGGTGCACAGCTCAGAGAGGGTGATTTCCTGCTGGGAGAATGCTAGCAGAATTCCATCGAGGCCAGGGTATGAACAAAGCTCACACCTGCCAGAGCTGGGAGGGGCAACTTCCGTCCAACAGCAGTGGACACGGAGCCCTGATTGAATGATAGGGCATGGCTGGGGGGCAGGTCCCAGACTGCCTGTGCAGAGCCGCAGGGCTGGATGTGGGCCTCGAACCTAGGCCTGCATTCGGGATCAGAAGCCCTGACTTTGGGGAGTCGTGGGTCTGACAGCTTGTATCCTTTACCCTCCTATTCGCACCCCCTCCTTCATCTTCATTTTGGCTCCATTCTCCTAGGACAGGGAATATTGATGGAGGTAAGGAATACATTTTGGAGGAGAGCCTAACCCAGAGGAAGTGGCTTGTGTGGTATCGTGGTGTGGGGACAGCCCAGGTTCTGAAAGCAGTCAGGTCTGGGTTTGAATCTCTGTGCCACCAGAGTTACATCACCATGTCTACCATATCTAATCACCATATCAGTCATTTACATCATAGTATGAATGAGCCAATCCAATCTTTCCCTGAAAGCAATATTTCTGGGGGGAGAAAGAACATAGGAAGTGCCCTGGAAGAAAGCATTTTTCAAATCCTTGAACTATAAGAGCTCAGAAGGATCCAGAAATAATTGCATTGAGTCCCTCATTTTTGAAGTGGAGGGGAAAAAAAAAACTGAGGCTTGAAGATGGAAATATGAGCTAGCATCATGATTAAAAAATTGGACACTGGAGGGACTTTCCTGGTGGTCCAGTGGCTGAGACTCTGCACCCCTCATGGGGGAGCCCAGGTTCGATCCCTGGTTGTGGCACTAGATACTGAGTGCTGCAACTAAGACCCAGCAGCACCAAATAAGTAAATAAATTAAAAAAAAAGGATTTGGACACTGGGGCCAGACAACTTTTGCCACCTTGGCAAATTGTGTAGCCTGTTTGTGCCTCAATTTCCTTCTTTGTAAAATGGGGGTGATAGTGGTCTCCTCAGCCAGGTGTGGGAATTAAGGGTTAATGTCCAGAAAAGACTTATCTGGTTGGTGCCTGGCACACAGTCAGCCCACAGGAAATGTCACTGCACAGCTTGTAGCCGGACTTGAAGTCAGCATGAGGGACTCCGTCGATGTGGAAGAGGCTGGACCCGGTGGGCAGGGACAGACGGTGACCTTTGAGGCTGATCCTGGAGAGGCCCCACCATCTGCTAGGCCTTGTGTAGTGTGGAGACTGAGTGGCCAGCTTAACTTGCAGATAATGAAGGTTTTCTGCTCTCACCACAGGGCGGGGGGCTGAGCACTGGGGATGGGCTGGAGTGGAGGGAGGGCAGGAAGGGGCCAGCAGGAGAGAGGGTGGAGGGGATGCCAGCCAGCAGGTGGGGGCAGGTGCCCCGCTTCCTAGGAGAGACGTTGGCCCTCTGTGTGCCATGCCAGCCTGGCCTGCGAGGGCCTGTCCCTCCTGGGGATGGAAGTGCTGTGAGGGTTTGGGGTGCTTAGGCTTCCCAGGTGGTGCAGTGGTGAAGAATCCGTTCGCTGACGCAGGAGACGTGGGTTCAACCCTTGAGTTGGGAAGATCCCTTGGAGGAGGAAATGGCAACCCACTCCAGTATTCTTGCCTGGAAAATCCCACGGACCAAGGAGCCTGGTGGGCTACAGTGCATGGGGTCGTGAAAGAGTCAGACACAACTGAGATACGACACGACAGTGTGTTAGAGAAAGCGGCCTGCCTAGTACTTGGCTGACCAGGCCAGCCAAGGGGAAACGCTGTGGCTCAGCTGGTACCGATGCTCTGTTGAGGACGTGGCTTTTGTGTCTTCAAAATGTTTTCACTGCACAAGCAGGAGTAACTTTGGAGACGGTCCACCCCCTCTCCCGCGCTTGCCCGTCTGCCATGAAGACAGCTTCGTCTTTCCAGGGCCCAGGCAGAAACCTCGGTGGCGCTTTGACCTCCCTCTGTGTG